TAAGAGGAAGAACATGTTAATCTTTTAAGACTTGGTAAAGCTGATTACATGTAAGCTGTAGCTAAAAATATTTTTTATGTTGAGAATTTATATAGCTTTCTTCCACTTTAGCTCCATGTTGTTTGTCTTAATTTTACTTAATATTGCTTTAAAGTGCCTTCCCTAAATGTGTGTAGGTTTTATAAATCTGTATTGTTCCTGTGAAGTAGGTAGCTTAATTTGGGTTATTATAATATGATAAAAGTGCACAAGGACACCGATTTTATGTGTCTAAGCTTAACTTGAAATGACATTTTTATTTGAGACCTGAAGCAGTGTTGTTAACATTTCATTTAGTTTTACAGTTGGAAAGAACCTTCAAGGTTGTCTAGTCTAATCCACCTGAATAGAATCTACAGTCTCCTTAATAAGTGTTTCTCCATTCTTTGTTTTAAAATTTCTTATGGCAGAACACATTATCTCCAAAGTCAACTGATTTTACTTTCGAATTACTGAAATTGTTAGAAAAGTTTTCTTTTTCAACATCAAACTGCCTTTTAAAAAATTTAAACAAAAAGCTACAATTGCTTCTATTTCTTTTTATTGTGGCCAAGGAGAACAAGTTATTGTATTGCCTCTGTCTTTTCTTCTTCAGGTTGAACATCCCACTTCCTTCCATCTTCATTTTACTTGATAATGAGGCCCTTTACTGCTCTCATTGTCCTTTTCTGGACACTATCCAGCTTACTATTGCCCACCTAGAATAAAGAACAGTGTATTAGATGTGATCTGACCAATTTGTAGCGTATGTGGGACTTTGACTTCCATTTTCTTGAACACTACTTCTCTCTTAAATTGCTTTAGTTTTTTTGGATATCATGTAACATTGCTCATATTAGAGTGGCAGTACCCCATAGACCGTCCTGCTTCTAGTCCAGCCCTCCTCCATCATCTGGGGAGGTGGATCTTGTGGAGAAGGTACCCCAGCTATCCCCATAAACTGCCAACCGATTGCCACCCACAGAGCAGGCAAACCAACCACTAGGTGAAGCAACAGAGCACCCTGAGAGAGAGAGATAGGAATGGGCATGTGCCAAGCAGGTAAAAGTGTTCACCATCTTCTCCACTTGGACCCTTATGGAGAGATCTCAGGACACTGATTCCAAGAGCAGTGTCTGTAGCCACCAACTTGGGAAAACCTCTGTGTAGATTGAACGTGGGCACCTTCTCCTGTAGGTTTCACATCCAGACCTACTGAAGACCCAGCAAAGAAAGTTCCTAACATCATTAAAGAGTTCAACAGGGTGAAGAATATTGAAGAAGAGGCAAAGTCATCACATCTTTGCTGCTTTATTGTGAAGACTATGAGACCATTCCATTTGACTTGCCACTGAAACTTCCTGTACATGTTATTTCCTCATTTCAATGTGGGCTCTTTGAGAGTAGGGACTGGCTTATCTATTTGTATCTTCAGTCCTTAGCACAATGCATTGCACATAATAAGCACTTAATAAATGCTTCATTCAAGCATTCGCTTATTCATTCATATATAGGTTTGTGTTCATTAAAACCCTGAGATCATTTTTAGGCAGACTGCTACCTAGAAGTGCCTCCCTCCCACAAATCTTATATTTGAGAAGTTACTTCTTGAACTCATGTAAGAATTGCATTTGTCGCTGTTAATGTCATCTTGTTAGATTTGATGCTCTCTTCTATCCGGGAGAATCAAAAGAAGAAAAACTATTAACTGATACTCTTTTTTTTTTTTAAGGCAATTCAGGTTAAGTGACTTGCCCAGGGTCACACAGCTAGTAAGTGTCAAGTGTTTGTGAGACCGCATTTGAACTCAAGTCCTCCTGACTTCAGGGCTGATGCTCTATCCACTGTGTTGCCTAGCTGCCCCTTAACTGATACTCTTAATGAATATTGATACAAAAGTTCTAAGTAGAATGCCAGCAAGGAAGCTACAGCAACATATCACAAAGATCATTATCTTTTTTTTTTCTGTGAACTTAATAAAAATTAACAAACATGAACAGTTGAAAATACAGAAAAGAGGATTGTGTATGCAACTGTTAAGTCCTTTCTATAGCTACAGCTTTGGCTCTCTATAGGCACTTTGTATGTCTATATCCCATGTGAGGCCATATTCCCGTCTTTCATAACAGAGATTCTAGAATTTCTTAAAGCGTCCATTTTGAGAGTCATATGCATACTGCTGACAAAGAATAAGGACTCTGATCATGGTAAATGGCTCCTGATGAGATGGCCTCAAAGGAGTGATGTTCTTGTAGTCCTTTATCCCTTATCTGCCATACCTCTTCATGGGTTTGGGATCGTAGTCCTAGTTTTCTTCATGTAAAGCTTATTCTTTCTCCTTGAAGGTAAGAGAATAGCCTCAAGCTAATTGAATGGTTTGGGTTTAATCATTAACATGCTTTTTTTTCTCTTTGTTAACGGGAATAATTTTATCTTGTACATAGGATGCATTTAGTATTATTTATGTTATTCAGTTGTGGCGTGCATTCATTTGTACCCTTTCTTTACTAACCTGTGAGCTCCTTGAGGATTAAGAGTATGCTTTCTTTTTTATTGTAGCTCCTAGAAAAACCTAGAAGAAATATTGATTTGTATACAAAAGGAACTGAATAAATATCATTAACTAATAAAATTTTTCATAGAGCAAAATAAATTGGTGTTTTAATCAAACTTTCTGGTATTCATGAAAGTCTTTTTTCAATATTCATATACAACTTTGAAATTTTTCGTGATTTTTTTTAAAATAAGAGGCAGTGTGGTATAATGTAGACAAAGAAACCCTGCTGGCCTTGGATTCAGGGATGCTCAGGTTAACTTTCTGTCTCTGGCAGAGGCTGGCCCTGCCGCCCTTGACCAGTCGTTTGCCTTTCACTGTTTGGGATGGCTCTTTAAGCTGGTAAATTGCAGAGTAATCGTTGCTCTGCTTTGGTAGAGAGTTCTTTCCTCATTGTCAATTCTTTAAATGAATAAAATCATGCATATAGATTAAAAATAAATATAGGAAATGTGGATGAAAATATTGGGATTTTACTTTTATGTCTAAGTGTTACAGATGTTCACAGACATGCAGACTTTTTATTTGTTGTTGAGGCATTTTAGTCAAGCCCGACTCTCTGTGACCCCATTTGGGGTTCTCTTGGCAAAGATACTAGAGTGGTTTGCGTATCCTCCTCTAGCTTATTTTGCAGATGAGGAAACTGAGGGTTAGGTGATTTTTCCAGGGTCACATAGCTAGTAAGTGTCTGAGGCCAGATTTGAACTCAGGAAGATGTCGTCCTGACCGTAGTCCTAGCACTCTATCCAGTGTGCCACCTAGCTGCCCCTAGACATTGTGATAAAGCAGCTTAAAACATAATTTCAAGTTAGGTAACTATTCTTTCCTTGTGATGCATTTTTATATGCCTTTGCATATTCCATATTGGCATTCACGTCTGAATGTGTCAGCGTTTGTGGAGTGATATTTCACATCAAATAATCTTCCTGAAATTCCAGTTTTTTCCTTGATGACTTAATTTTTCCTATTGATAAGCGTCTGTTGCATGGTTGGTCATATTCCTTGTGGTCATTGAATCACTTCATGGGAAGATGAAGTTGGCTATTCAGAGTTAACGAGTGTAGGACTACTTGTGTTATTCTAGTGGTGTGTTAGGATTAGTAGTAGATTCATTTCAGCAGAGTGGGAATCTGAGGACTTTGATATAAGTCTTGGCTGTGCACTTTACTGCTTGGGAGAGGACCTCACTTTCCTAATTTTTATCATGTGAATAGGGGAGAAGGAATCAGACTTCATGGTTACTAATTTCCTTTCCAGCTCTAAATCCATTATCCTATGAAATATTTTGCTGAGCTGAATATGTTTAAGATACTGGGAATACCGAGATAGATATGGCAAAAATCCTGTGCTTAATTGTCTTGTTTAAAAGTATTCTGTGGACTTCGGGGGGATTTGCTTTTAACAATTGTAAAGGACGAAAATAGAACATTACCAGTTAACAGGAGGCAGTACAGTCTGAAGTGCTGGGTTGTCTTTACCTTGCGAAGTTTTCCCTGAGTCTTTGGTAAGTGGCATTCCTAGAGTGGAAGATACTCCTTTCCTTGGAGGGTTAGTATGTGGTTTACCCCAGAGTAAAGGGGTCTTAGTTTTATGTTCTTGGTTCTGATACAGAATCACAGAATTACAGAATTTTTGAGTTGAAGGTGCTTTAGTAACCTCGTCCAACCCACATTTAAAAAGGAGATTCCCACTGTTACATAACTGACAAGCAGCTTTTCTTGGAGATTTCCAATGAAGGGGAAACCTCAGTCCCTTGAAGTAGCCACTTCACTTTTGGGCATTTTCCTGAAATCAAGTCTATTTTCCCCCTTACATCTCCTCCTGATCTGCCATCTGGATCCAGGTAGAGCAAGTGTATTCCTTCTTCCACATGACAGCCCCTCAGATACTTGAACACAGCAGTTATGTCTTCACCATTCCCCATTTCCTGAGTCTACCCCAGGCTAAACGCTCCTGGTTCCTTCAGCTGTCATGTAACATACTCCAGGTATCTTCCTGAGAGGATTCTGTATAGCTTATCAATTGTATTTCTAAATTGTGGTTTTAAGAATAGCATACAATTTACCAGATATGGTCTGACCAGAGAAGAACACAGAACGTTACTACATTCTTATTCCTAGAAGCTATTTTTCTCTTTATATAGCCCAAGATTGCGTTTGCTTTTTGGATTGCCACATCATACTATTACTTATCTTGATTTCCTCACTTATTTGGGGAGGCTTTTTGTTAATAACTTTACTATGTTTCCTGGCCTTTTTTTTTTTAATCTTGCTGTTATGTAATATACACAAAGTTTCTATGTCTTAGAAACATATTTGGATTCATAGGAGTTAATATTCTTGAACTTAGTTTGAAGGTATATTCCTATATACATTCAAATGGAAGAGAATTTCTCAACTTGTTTACTAACTTTTAATTTCTCCTTCAGGCTGCATGAGAAAAAGAGCCCTGAAATGGAATATATAAACAAATACAGACAATTAGAAGCTCAAGAATTTGATGTGTGCAACAGTGATCATTCAAGCAGTGGACCAGGTAAAATAACCTAACTCATGTATTATAGAGGATAGTATGTATATTTTCTTTATTTGAAGAATTCAGTAGTTTAAACAGTGTCATTCAGAAATAATATTTTAGACAAAGGATCTTAGCCATTCATTTGGAAATATTCTAAATTGGTGAATTTTGGGACATATGCAATCCATGTTCCCATTACCTTAAATGCAGTGTCTTGCAGGGAGGGAGGGGTTAGGAAGGAAGGAAGGACTAAGGCAAGAAGCAAAAATAATTTTTTAATACTTATTATATGCTGGGGCAGCTAGGTGGCGCAGTGGATAGAGCACCGGCCCTGAAGTCGGGAGGACCTGAGTTCAAATCTGGCCTCAGACCAAATGCTTGACATTTACTAGCTGTGTGACCCTGGGCAAGTCACTTAACCCCAATTGCCTCACCAAAAAAAAAAAAATACTTTATTGCTACAAAATGCTAGCCATCATCCAAGCCTTCTGTGAGGTGCCATCTTTTTGTTGGTAGAAGGTCTTGGTTTGATGTTAATGGCTGCTGAGTGATCAGGGAGTGGTGGTTGCTCAAGGTGGGCTAACTGTGATAAGTTTTCAAAATAAGACAGTAAAATTTGTTGTGCCAGTGGACTCTTCCTCTCTCTTGAGCATTTAAAGGCCGTTGAGGAGGAATTGACTGGACTAATTTCAGCATTGTTGTGTCTTGGGGAAGAGGCAGGCCTGAGAACAGGGAGAAAGATACAGGGGAAACGGCCAAGGGGTGGAGCAGTTGGAACACACGCAACATTTATTCATTAAGTTTGTCGTCTTATACAGGCGTGGTTTGTGGTAACCCAGATAGTTACAATAGTAACATCAAAGGTCACTGGTCACAGATTACTGTAACAGATAAAATAATAATGAAAAAGTCTGAAATATTGTGAGAATTGCCAAAATGTGACACAGAGACATAATGTGAACATACGCTGTCAGAAAAATGGTGTCGTGACACTTGCTTCAATTTGTGAAAAATGTCATGTCTGTGAAGCGTAATAAAGTGAAATGCAGGGAAACATGGTACCACCTGTACATGACTTAGATATAAAAAGTCCTATCATAAATAAGTTAGAAGAGCAAGGAAGGAATTATTTGGATCCGTGGATAGAGGAAGACTTCATGATTAAAGCGATAGGATCAGACAAGATAAAAAGAAGCATTTTTGATTATGTAAAATTAAAAAATACTTGGATAAACTAATTTAGTAAAAGTTAGAAGGGAAACAGGTAATTGGAGAAAAATCTTGTAATAAATTTCTCTGATAAAGATCTTATTTCCAAGGCACATAAGAACATATTCAAATTTAGGAGAATGAGTCGTTTCCTAATAGATAAAGCATCAAAGCATATTAACAGATTTTTAAAAGTAAAAAATATACACTATTAACATTACATGAAAAAATATTTTAATCACTGACGATTAGAGAAATTAAAATTAAAGGAAATTGAAGTTCTATATCAGCCTGGCAAAGATAACAGAAGAGGAAAATGAGTTGGAGGGGATATGGGAAAACAGCTAAACTAATTCACTGCTGATGTAGATGTGATAGTGGTTCAGCCACTTTGGAAAGCAATATAGAATTATTCCCAGAAACTTAACAAATTACCTTTATCCTCTAACCCAACCATACAGTTGTAAGGCTTGTACTTCTTTAAAGAAAGAGGAAAAGGATCTACATGTATAAAAACATTTATAGCAGCTTTTTTCATGGCAGCCAAAAATTGTAAACCAAGAGCGTATCCTCCTGTTGAGGAATGAAACAAATTGTGGTGTAGGAATGTAATGGAGTGCTATTGTATCATATGAAATGATGAAATAGTTTCAGAGAAAATTAGGAAGACCTTTATGAACTGATGCAGAATGAAATGAGTAGAACCAGGAGAATAGTTTATGCGATGAAAAGAACATTGTCGAGAAAAATAATTTTGAAACACTTTAGAATTCTGCTGAATACAATGATAATCACAATTCCAATAGAGTGGTGATGAAACATGCCAATCATTTTACCTTGCATTTTATTTGATGTTGGACCCCAGAAAGAAATGCCTTATATCTTACCTGCACATAGTGTGATTATTCTCGCAAACACAAGTTATTGCCATCATGAGGGGAGCAGGATTCCGTGCCCAACGTGCTTTAGTTCAAATAAGCAAGGATTTTTACTGCCTGTTATATCTCTTGATGAAAATAGTCCAAAAGAATGGAGCATTTTATGTTGGAAGTAGGTTCCTAAGATTTTGGGCCTATCATGATGTTATATATTTTTCTTTAGGCCCAGAAGTTCATGTAACCTAATTTATAGCTAGATAACAAAAAGAGAAGGGGCATTTGTATAGCACCTGTTATGTGCCAGGCACTGTAATAAAAACTTTTCAAATATCATCTTATTTGATCTTCTCAACAGCCCTGGGAGAAAGGTGCTGTTATTATCTCAATTTTACAGTTGAGGAAACTGAGGCAAACATAGGCATGCATGTAGTGTCTTCGATGTGTGGTAAACATTTAACAATGTGTATTAATTTGAAAATTCTAGGATTGAGAATTGGATTTTAGCATAACATTGCGGGTGACTGGTGATGCGGTTTCCTCTAGGGGAAGCCAACTTTCAGTGTCAGTAGATGAAAGGAGCAAGAGAGGAAGACATGTAAAATGAGAGGAAGTTTGTTGAATATGGAGCAGTAATTCCAAAGGGCACAGTGGAAAGGGTGGGCTGATTTAGAGTGGGCTATTAAAGTAGTAGGCCTGAGATAGATGGGAATGAAGAAACAGACAGCTAGGAGTGGGGGAATAGGATTTTTTTCCTAGCAGTCAGAGGTTCAATTTCACTGGAATGGCAAGAAAAATAGTAGATGAGAGTATGCTAACCACTGGGAAGTAACCCAGGCAGAATATCGGTGAATTGGAGGAGTTTTGTAGGAAATAGGGAGGTGCAGGTTTTTATAATGAAAAGATGAATGGTAGATACATAGAAAAGGCAGCAAGGATTATAAGAGCCAGCATGGCTTCAACAAGAACAAGTCATGCAAGGCTCACCTTACTTTAATATCCTGTGTCAAATTGCTCACCTTCAATGAGGGGGTTGAGGAGGGAGGGGAAGAATTTGGAACTCAGTCTTAAAAACTAATGTTAAAAATTGTTTTTACGTGTAATTGAAGAAAAATAAAATATTAAATTAAAAATAGTCTTGTCAATCAACAAACATTTATTAAGTACCTACTCTGTGTCAGGCATTCTATTAATCATACAAAAGACGTAAACACAGTTGGCGTCCTGAAGGAGTTCACATTCTAATGCTGGAGATAACATGTAAATAACTATATACATACAAGATAGATAAAATATAAATGGAAGATAATCTCAGTGGGAAGGAAGGAATTAGCCATGGGCAGGACCAGGAAAGTCCTCTTGCATAAGGTGGGATTTGAGCTGAATCTTGAAGGAAGTTGAGGAGGCAGAGAAGAGGAGGAGGAACATTCCAGGCTCAGGAGAGTCAGCGTGAAGGCACTATGAGAGGAGAGATTTGAATATTGTGTTTGAGGAACAGTAAGTAAACCAATGTAGTTAGACTGAAGACTGGAAATAGGAAGGGGCCAACTTGTAAAGGGATTTAAATGCCAAACAGAAGACTATAGTTTATCCTTCAGCCATTAGAGTTTATTGACATAGCCGGATCTGCAATTTAGAAAGGTGACTTTGGCATCTGAGTAGAGGATGGATTGGGATGAGTGGAGATCTGAGGCAGGGACAGAAACCTCAAGGCTGTTATTAACATTGTTCAGGAGAACTGAACCGGGGTGGGGGCTCTGCGAATTAAGAAATGGGGATGTGTATGAGAGAGCGTGGTGACATAGAAATGACAAGAGTTGATTAAAAATACCTCCAGATCAAATATGAAATCCTCTGTTTGGCCTTGAATGCCCTTCCTGACCTCTCCCCTTCCTGCCTTTCCAGCCTTCTTTCACCTTAGTTCCTTCTGTGTATGTGATCGTGGGGCACTGGCCTTCCTGCTGCTCCTCCAGTAGGACCCTCCAGGCATTTTCACTGGCCGGCTGCTCTCTTCTCATTTCTGCCTCTTGGCTTCCCTGGCTTCCTTCAAGTCACAGCTGAGTTCTCCCTTCCTGTGAGAAGCCTTTTCTGGTCCTCTTTTTAATCTGAGTACCTTCTCTTAAAGGTTGTCTTCAGCATTTCTTCTCTATGTCTTATGTGCACATAGTCTGATGGAGAGACAGCATGACAACAGCTGTGAGGGCCTTGAGAGCATGGTTTTTGCCTTCATTGGATCCCCAGTGCTGAGCAGTGTCTCATGCATAGTAGGTGCTTAATAAGTGCTTGTTAACTTGGCCTCAGTGAGAGTACGGGCTGGGCACAACACCAAGGTGTGAGTCTGAGGGACGGGGGGAAGGGTGGTTCCCTTGCTAGAAATAGGGAAGTTAGGAGAAGGGGGATACTCCCTAAATGTTTATGATGACCTAAGTTGTATCTACCACAAAACTAGAGGTAGAGGTAAATGCATATTATGTAAATGTAAATTTTTGAGAGTTAATAAATTTGTAGTTGAGGGAGACGGTTATTGATATTGTTTACATAGATTAGATGGAAGGAAAGTGCACTAGATCAGCAGTGGGGAGCCTGCAGCCTCTGGGACCTTGGGTGTGGCCTTTTGACTGAGTCCAAGTTTTACGGAACAAATCCTTTTATTGAGAGGGTTTGTTTTGTGAAGTTTGGATTCAGCAAAGGGCTTCACCTGAGGACCTAGAGGGCCACATGTAGCCTTGGCTGCAGGTTCCCTACTCTTTATACTAGATGATATGCAGTTTGATGGATATAGAAATGGTTAAATGGGTTGTCTCAAAAAGGAGTAAATAGTTAAAAATAGTGTTATCTTAGTAGAAAGTCTGCAATGTGGCAGTAGTCCTATTATTTTAACCTTGTTTAAATCAGTGACTTGGATAATGGCTAGATGGCATGCTCATCGGATTT